GTAGCTCCGCAAACGCAAAGGGAAGTAGTCGCTGCATAAAGACATGACAATCATGGCTCTTCATCCCGGAGAACTTTTGCCCTTTCTCAACACATCTTGAGAGATTTGAAACATACCCATCAGGGAACTTCACTTCTGAAGCCACCCAGTTGAACAACACAGACTTTTTTTCTGATGACAGTCTGAATATTGGAACTGGAACTTGCCCATTGCTTTTTATATGTAGCTCACTCCTTGAGCAGATATCGGGTAAGTCCAACCTTGATTTTACGTTGTCTTTCGTCTTCCCTGGGACATTCAATATAGTGTTCATGATGTTCTCAAAAAGTTCTTCTCTATATGCATCACATCGAGGTTGTGGCGCAAAAGAAGATCTTTCCAATATGGCAATCCCCAAAATATACTCTTTTTGTGCCAATTGTGTTGAACACCATAAGAATCAGACATATTACTGGGAACATGCCAATTCCCACCACGAGGAGCTGTTTCCAGAGCACAGTAGTAATCGATTTGCGCTTCGATTTGTTCTCCAGTTAAATATGGAGGAGGAGTGTCTCTAACAACCCTTTTGTGCCTGAACAATTTCTTGTTTCTTCGGTGTGGGTGGTGAATGGGAAGAAATCGACGGTGACAATCGAACCAACTAGTCTTCCTACCATGCTTCAACTGAAACGCATCTGTCATTCCATTACAATACGGACAAGCTAATCTCCCATGTGTAGTCCACCCAGACAACATACCATATGCAGGAAAGTCACTTATGGTCCAAAAAAGCATCGCTCGCATCGTAAAGTTTGTTTTCGTTGAACAACCATATGTCCTCGCCCCTGTTGACCACAAATCTTGCAACTCTTTTATCAGTGGTTGTAGAAAAACGCCGAGAGATCTTTTTGGATGTTTTGGACCAGGTATTAATATGCTCATGAATAGAAACTCTCGTCGCATGCACATCTCCGGTGGCAAGTTATACGGTGTAAGAAAGACCGGCCACAATGAATATTGTCTCCCAAACATTCCAAATGGACTAAATCCATCAGTGCATAATCCAAGATACACATTCCGGCTATTTCTAGCGAAATGTGGATGTACATTGTTAAAATGTTTCCAGGCTCTTGCATCTGATGGATGAGTCATCTCTCCATCCGTCTGAGTATGCTCGGCATGCCATCTCATCCCTCCAGCAGTCTCCTCAGATTGGTACAATCTTTTTAATCTGTCTGTGATTGGTAGGTACCACATCCTTTGGTACGGTACCCTATTACGCCCTCGATCTTGCGGTTTGAATCGTGGCTTCTTACAAAATCGACATTCTTCTAACTTCTCATCATCTCCCCAGTAAATCATGCAGTTGTCGATGCAAACGTCTATCATCTCTGAGGGAAACCCTAGACTATATACCAATTTCTGAATCTGATAATAAGATTCAGCAGACACATTGTCTTCTGGCAAATACTCTTTAAACAAGTCTGCCCATGCATCCATACAATTTCCAGGTAGATTGTGATCGGTTTTAATACTCATCATTCTAGCAGCCAACGACAATTTAGACAGACCTTCTCTACAACCACTGTAAATTGGTCATTCGCAGCATCTAACATTTCATAAAAAATTTTGGCATCTAAGTTAGGTTCTTCAATTTCATCATTATCATGAGTTACAAAGGCATCACCTACCATATCATGAACCCTATCACAATCTACCATTTGTTCCTCTTGGTGATGATAGCTATTACTACTGCTACCTTCATTACGCAAATGCTCAACCAGTTCAATCTGAAAATTGCTATTACTACTGCTACCTTCATTCCTACAACTAGCATTTTCTCCATGTTGATACCAAATATAATAATATGGCATGAAACCTCTATTTACTAAATGCTTCCAAACATTTTCACGAGGGCCTAATTTGGTATTGCAACATTTCCGACAAGGACAGAACATCTTACCACTTTCCTGCGTGAGTGGTGTAGAATCTGCTTGATGCATAAACGTCTCCAACCCTTCAAGAATTTCTTTCGTCACCCTCCCGTTATTATCTCTGTGTGAATACATCCACTTCCGCAACTCGAAAATACTTCCCGGACCGGACATTTTTTTTGTTTGATCAAGCTTATAGCTGATTTATTTTTGGTGTGTTTCAAATGAATCACATATGGTGGTATTTATAGAAATTTTCGAATCTGAGAATTTACTAGGAAATTGCTAGGAAAAGTAGGTACAAAACACGTTTTTGATTTAAATTCGATATTTTCTATCCATTTCCTCTTAATTTCGTAGTAACAAATCTTTTCCTCATAATTTCGTAGTAAACAATTACTAGGACTTTACGAGGAAAAGCATTACTATGAGTTTACGAGGAAAATAACTTTTTCCTCGTAAGGGGCTCGTAAGTTTACTTCGAATTTACGAGGAAACTGTTTTCTCGTAAGTTTACGAGAACTTTATGAGGAAAAGTGGTTTCTTCGTAAACTCGAAGTAAACTCGTAATACTTTTACAAGGAAATATTTTCCTAGTAAAGTTTCCTAGTAAATACTTAGTTTTCTTGTAATGATGATATTAAACCAGGCAAGAATATATACAAATTAAAGGTTCAGGTTACAAGATTGTGGAAGCTGTGGAGATCGCAAAAAGTTGTCTCCATTGAGATGGTTCTAAAAGATACAGTTGTAAGTCCATTACAATATTAGTTTAGATGATTTTTATTAGTTAATGTTAAATTATCTTACTTTCAATTGTAGGGAACAAGGATACATGCATCCATTGATGAGGATTTGATAGAAATATATGAAGCAAAAGTGTCTGAGGGTGTTGCTTTTTTTTATAAGTAATTTTACACTTGTGAACTATGCAACAGGATATAGGACTAATCCTTTTCCGTATAAGATGACGTTTTATCGAACAGCATGTTCTCCTTGTGATGATTTTCCTTCTTAGTTGCCGAACAAGTATCTAAAGAATTTCACAGAGATTCATTCTAGGATCTTTAAGAATGATGTTTTGATTGGTTAGTAACTTCTAATTAGCATATGTATATTTAATAAACATGATTCACTAAATTTATTTGGCAGAACTTATTACTTAGTTTTTAAAATTTTCTTAAATATATACATGTTTTCTTCAAGAATGATATTTTGGGAGTGGTTAATATCGTTTACACCTTTAATAAAATATATAAATCAGCCAAAAATAAAAACAATTTTAATATTTATTTGATTAAATAAATAATTAAAATTAATATTAATGTTAAGAATTATCCATAATCTAAATATATATTTTCAAATAGTAAAGATATAATTCCATTGTATATTGTGCTGTTACCCACAAATATCTTTTAATAAAAAAATAAAAATTCAAAAACAGAAAACACATAAATAAATATTCATAAAGTAAAATTTTTTAATTATATATAATTGAAATGAGAAAATTGAAAATTGTATAATACATAATAATTTTCAAATTAAAATGTAATAATATAATATGATGATATCTATTTGTGAAGTTATTTTTCACCTCTGAACTCACACGTTAAATTAAATTTGTTTTGATATTTTATATAGTTAACCCTTAAACATAAATTACTCATAATAAAAAAAATTATTTAAAAAAGAAAACACATATTTGAAAAAAATAAATTCAAATATATTGTATTATTAGCCAAAATAATATTATTTTTTGTAAGATCAATTTTTGAATTTATATTTATCAATTAAAATTTTCCAAATTAACCTATCTTTTTTCATAGAAATGAATATTTCAAAGTTTTAAAGGAAACAAGTAGATTTGTTTTTTTTTTTTAATTTGTGAATAACTTTATCATGTGAAAACGTTTAATGTTTTTTGGTTGAAAAAAAATAATCGTATATTTTGAATTTTTTTTTAAATTGATTTAAAGATAACTAAGCCCGCATGTGCGGACACAACACCTAGTAACGTATAATCAGACTCACTCGAATATGATGTCAAATCGGTTCGGCTGAGATATATTTTTATGGGGTCAAGTTCGATCGGTTAGGTTTGTTGGAATCGGTCTATTTGCGTATCACTAGTTCAGAATTCGTAATTATAGAGTTCAATAACTTTTAATTTCGACTTGATTTATATGCGCATCTTCGCGACCATGTTTGATTGTTTTTTTTTTTTTTTTTTTTTTTTTTTGACATCAGCCCATAATATCTAGATCAAGTGGTGAACAAACGAGTCTATCCTCCTAAGAGCATCCCCGTCTGGCCTGGTCTGATCTATATGGGAAAAGGTGGATCCTCTTCTTCTCGCCTCTTTCGCTAGTCCATCCGCTCTACTATTCCTACTTCGAGGAATATGCGACAACCTCATATCCTCAAAGTGCTCTTGTAGTTTCCGGAACCTCTCAATCTCTGTTGCGAAAGTTGGCCATTCCTCCGGATTAGTAGACATGTCTACTAAATCCGCGCAGTCCGTCTCTATCACCACCGAAACAATCCGCAAATCCCTTAGGCATGAGACTGCCCAAAGAAGTCCTTCCATCTCAGCATGAAGGGCTGAGCGCGTCCTCCTGCACGCCCGTTGTCCGATCCAGTCATAATCCACATGATCCTTGAGTATCCACCCTAGCCCACTAACACTACCATGATCGATCCATGATGCATCAATTTGGCAGATCGGGGTTCTGGGGTTCTCATAGGATCCTCTCTCGATCTCCAAGGATGGCAGGGATCCATGATGCATCAATTTGATTGTTCAATTTCAAGCTACACTGATGAAGTATTCGCACTCTACGGTTGGTACTAAATCTACTATCGTACGGTTGTTATAATAAGCTGTATTAAACATTCAGTATTACGAAAAACATAGAATAATAAACCCCTTCTCTTTTCTTGATGAAGCATTGAAGCTTTATGATTTCAGAAAAGAAATAACTTTTTCAAAAAAAGGCAAACTTTCTGATTCTCTCTACTCACTCTCTCTTCTTCACACTCTTTCTCTCTTTCTCTTGATTTATCTGCTCTCCACGCCAATCAGTCATGGTCTCAGAGACAACGCGATCGACGGTCAAACTCACGAACATCCCTCAAACCATAGTCGCCGAGGAACTCGTCCGCTTCTTAAACCTCCACGTCGGCGCAGACTCCGTATTCGCCCTCGAAATCCCAACCTCTCGCGAAAACTGGAAGCCACGCGACTTCGCTCTCGTCCAATTCACTTCCCTCGAAGCCAAGTCCCGCGCTCAGCTCCTCTCTTCCCACAGCAACCTCCTCTTCAAGTCCCGTAACCTAAGAGTCTCCGAAGCCTACGACGACATCATCCCTCGCCCCGTGGATCCAAAGAGAAGGCTCGACGGCGTCGTTTTGACGGTGGGTTTCCCCGAAGCGGAGGAAGGGAGGTTTTGTGCCCTGGAGAAATGGGATGGCGTGAGGTGTTGGGTTTTAGAGGACAAGAGGAGAGTTGAGTTTTGGGTTTGGGAAAGTGGAGAGTGTTACAAGTTTGAGGTTAGGTTTGAAGATATCGTTGAAACTGTTCCTTGCTGCGTCAATGGCGTCTCTGAGATCAATGCTTTTCTTCTCAGGGTAAACTTTTTTTTTGGACTCATGTTTGTGACAATGTGCATGTGAAAAGTTCTCTGCTCTCATTGTTTTATCTGTAAAGTGACATCCTTTTCTTGTTTCCTTGAATTATTGAAAGTAACTTGGTGAAACCCTAGTTCTGCTTAAGTTTCTAATGCAAGGATACCTTAGGGTTTGATATGGAACTGAGTTTGTGTTGAGCTTATCTTGCTTGCGGTTTGTTTTTATATTTGCTTTGGTTTGTTTACCTGTTGTCTTATTTTCAGCTGAAATATGGACCGAAGATATACAAGCAAGCTTCAGGACCTCATATAGCCACAAAGTTTAAATCTGGTCGGTACCGTTTCTGCAAGGAGGATTTTGACTTCATCTGGATTCGCTCTACTGATTTCTCCGGTGTAAAGTCAATCGGTACATCCACTTGCTTTTGTTTGCAAGTCGACAATGGCGACATCTTCTCAAGCTTCCCTTTCTACAGAGAAGACACTTTGAGCCTTACCACAGTGGATGGGAATAATACCTTTGCCTCTGGGAACCAAATTGTTCCCCTCTTGAATGCAGCTAATCTGGGGATGGAGATTCCATATGAGATCCTTTTCCAACTCAATTCGCTCGTTCACGCCCAGAAAATCAGTCTTTTCGCCGCTTCAGACATGGGATTGATAAACATCCTTTGTGGTTTGAGCTTAGAAACTGCATTGGCGATCCTCAAGAAACTCCACCAGCAAACCTCTATTTGTTATGATCCTATCTCATTTGTCAAGGCTCAGTCGCAATATGCTGTTAAGAAGATGGCGCTTTCCCCTGCATCTGCCTATAAGAGATTGACTGAGCAGAACATAATGAGTTGTCAGAGAGCCTATGTCACACCCTCAAAGATTTATCTGTTGGGTCCAGAGCTTGAGACTGCCAATTACGTTGTGAAGAACTTTGCAGAGCATGCCTCGGATTTCATGAGAATTACTTTTGTGGAAGAAGATTGGAGCAAGATTCCAGCGAATGCTCTTTCTGTGAACTCCAAGGAAGGCTATTTTGTGAAACCCTTTAGAACCAACATCTACCACAGGGTGCTGTCAATCCTTGGAGAAGGGATCACCGTGGGGCCTAAAAAGTTTGAGTTCTTGGCTTTCTCAGCGAGCCAACTGCGAGGAAATTCCGTCTGGATGTTTGCTTCTAACGAGAAAGTAAAAGCTGAAGATATTAGAGAATGGATGGGCTGTTTCCGTAAGATCCGAAGCATTTCGAAATGTGCAGCTAGGATGGGCCAGTTGTTCAGTGCTTCCCGGCAGACACTTAATGTCCGTGCGCAAGATGTGGAGCAGATTCCAGACATCGAAGTGACTACTGATGGTGCTGATTACTGCTTCTCGGACGGCATAGGGAAAATTTCATTGGCATTTGCTAAGCAAGTTGCACAGAAGTGCGGACTGAGTCATATCCCTTCAGCGTTTCAAATTCGATATGGTGGCTACAAAGGTGTGATTGCAGTTGACCGCAGTTCCTTCAGAAAGCTGTCTCTGCGTGATAGTATGCTAAAGTTTGACTCCAACAACAGGATGCTCAACGTGACCAGGTGGACAGAGTCGATGCCTTGCTTCTTAAACCGGGAGATCATTTGTCTTTTGTCCACGCTCGGAATAGAAGATGCGGTGTTTGAGGAGATGCAAGCGGGGCATCTATCTATACTGGGGAATATGCTTGAAGACCGCAATGCGGCATTGAATGTCCTGCAGAAATTGAGTGGAGAAAGTTCCAAGAATCTGCTAGTTAAGATGCTGCTACAAGGATATGCACCCAGTTCAGAGCCTTACCTCTCAATGATGCTTCGTGTGCACCATGAGAGCCAGCTTTCTGAACTAAAGAGTAGGTGCAGGATACTTGTACCGAAAGGACGGATCTTGATAGGTTGCATGGATGAAATGGGTATCCTTGAGTATGGCCAAGTGTACGTTCGTGTTACACTGACTAAAGCTGAACTGGAATCCCGCGAACAGA